GATTTGAGAGACATTCTGGAGATACACTTAAAAGTTTAGATGTGGGAGGTGGGGGGAAAAATCCAGAGGGGGCTAGGAAGATGACAATGCCTTTCCTTCTTTGAGCATGGAAAGAAGAGGGTGGGAATGAAATATGAGTTCAATTTTGGATGGTATGAGCTTTCCCCCTGTGTGGTATAAGGGTGGCGTTCTGCAGCATTGGGAGTGAATGGGCAAGCTGAAGCAAAGCCAGTTCCTTCCAAGCTTTATTTGTCAGCCCTCTAATCCCTAGACTCTTTGTCTTTTTGGAAAGTTATCGATTTCTTTGAGACTCTGAAGAAAGCTATGGGTTCCAGCTCAGAAAAAATGAATGTACACACTGTGACATAAAATTGTGCATATACTTTATGAGACCCCCATTCCCCCAGAGGTCTGTCCGCAGCCCCAGATGGGAGCCTTGCTCTAACTAACTCCCTTGATGTCCTCTAAACCTGCTCTATTTCCCTATGTGCCAATCTTCTGAGTCAGAGATAGTTTGCTAATTATAAGTCATTTCCTATTTTAGAAATCCTCATGACTTATGGTCAAATGCTTATGTTCATCATGCTGATTCAAGAATTGTAATTTCTTAATGCCGGGTGAGAGACAGGAGAGAAAATGGAGAAGAAAGGAGGAGATCCATTCTGAGACTTTGTAATTCCTCTGGACCAGCATCACATGGCTCATGCAAGATGGGATGCAATAAGAAATACACAGCACCATCTGCAAATGATTCTTGCCTCATTGAATGAAAATCTAATAGGAGGTATAGAAGAACAAGTTAAATAAATGACACCACAAGAGAGCAAGCGGCCAAATCCAGAATGCAGGAGAGTCTACAGAACAAATGACCCAATTGCTCTACCAATTAATAGCATGAAAAATTAAGAGAGTATTGCAGAATAAAAGAGCTTTAATGATTAAAAGCAATAGGATTTTGTCTTGTATAGGGAACAATCTGAGAAATTAGAATGCATACTTGGGATTTGGATCATATTAAAGAATAAAATAATTTAGCTGGGTGTCATAATGGTGGTTATGGAAAAAGAACACGTTCTTATCAGAGATGCACACTGAAGTTATTTGCGAGTGTGAGGACACAATACACAGTGTCTGGGATTTGCATTCAAATAGTCCAGCAAAAAAAGGAGGTAAGAGATGAAACTAAAGAAGGGGGAGTACATTTGGCAAAATGTTAATAATTGTTGAAATTGGAAGGTGGGATATATTTTATATGGGGGTTCATTACACTATTTCCTACTTTTCATGTATGAAAGTTTTCTATAAGTTAAAAATATTATAAATAATTTTTTTAAAGTGTGGTTCTAAAATCTGGCTGATCATGAGAATCACGTGGGGAGCTTAAAAAACTCAATTCTGGGAGCTGTGCAGCCCCAGAATCAATCCTCTGTGGGTACATTTGTACTGGACGGAAGCTGGGGACAAAGGCTTGAGGGTGGGAGCTGTTATAATTTCACGGCCATGCCGCGTCTTCCGACACGTCTGACCTGGGCCATCTTACACCAGTCTTCCTTCCTCCCTGCTCATTTTTCTCTTTCCTGTCTTTCCTCCTCCCTCTTGTTTTCTCTTTCTTCACTTTATTAAATGCTTAGGGCAGGAACCTTTGGTGCAGCACAAGGTCCTAGCATGTCTTTCCTATTCCCATTTGGGCCTCAGTGTCCCCATTGTTGAACCAGAGGCCTGTGCTGAGTATATGGCCCTGCTCTCAAGTAGTTGTTATTGTCAAAGAGCTACCTTACTACCCATGGGTGACACACATACCCATCGCCTGGGTGTACATAAAAAAATAAAGTTGCCTGGGAAGCACAGTCTTAATATTTCAGCCATTGTTTGCTTTCAGCATTCATCGATAGAAAACATCAAAATTTGTTCTTAAATAATTTATTTTTAAATTTTGACTTTTGTGAAAAGTTACATTTATTTAGAAAAACTTGAAGAAATCCAACGAAGAATAGATAGCTTTCTATCAGGGACAACTAAATGTGCAAATTTCAAATACTTTGTATAATAAGTATAAATAATTCCGTTTATTTCACATTAAGAATGAAAATATTGATAGATACAAAATATTAAGATACCAACTTTAAGAGGACCGGATGAAAACACTGAAGTTTATTTGACACCTTTGGAAAGAAATTATATGGTTTATGTGTCAGGGAAAACAATTTAGAGAGTTCTAAGTAGAAAACATCAGGTAACAAGAGTAAAGTCTATGCAGAATTACAGATCACAGATAGTTTCAGGTCCTAAGTTCAGACCCTTTCTTCCTGGGAAAATGCATTTTCCCTTTTATTCTAGAGCAAGTATGACAGCAACGCAATGCACAGAGAGAAACTGCAGGCCAACAACAGAAAGAAATTTCCACATACTCATGGTTCCTGGGTTTGGCTGTCCCAATGCTGGGGTGCCCCAGGACAGAAGGTCACTTGCCCAACCCCCCAGGACACTGGATTAACACAGCAAATAAAACCATCATGAAAGGCCACATCTTTCCCTATGACCATCCCCAGTCTCATCTCCGCTCCTTCCCTATCTTCTCTCCAAGGAGGTAGGATACTCAGAGGCATCTACAGATTATAAAGAACAGTTTCTTTTCATGTGGCTGGAGTTTCGTAAGAAGAAGCATGAGACTTTAATGAATTTACTCTTGACACAATTCCTACTTAGCCAGGGAGGGCAGCAAAGTGTATCAAAGATGCCGACTTCCCCACTGTGGTCAGGGACTTGTCTGGTTCCACGACCTGACCCAAACCAAGTATGTTACCTTAAGAAGACACTGCAGCATTTTCCTCAGAGTAGAAGAAATATCTTCATTTAAATAACCTTAACATTTGTAATAAAATAAATAAAGTGAATCACACAGACCCTTTACAAAGGCAGCTGGTTGAGTTCACACAAGCTGTGTACATAGACGGTGCCCCAGCAACAACCAGAAAATAGGTTATTATTATTCAGTCTTCCTACTTATACCTCTAGGGTAGCATTTCAGTATAATTTAAAAAATCCCTCACACATAATATAAGGGTATAGTCTATATGTATACGTTTTTACATACACCTCAGTTCAGGCTAACCTCTTAAGGAGTGAAGACAGTGATCACCCAGAGTTATACATCTTCCCACTAAAACAACTCTCATTTTTAAAAGGTGCATATTGTAAAGAGCAGCTTGTTTTCTTTTCACCATGAGCATGTCGCAGCAGACTCAGAATCACAGTCTGTGGATGGTTCTGCTTTTCTGCTGGGTTCCCGGGAAAGGAACTAAGCAGGTAGGGGAAAACCATTAATATGTCCGAATGTCTCCGAATATGTCCATTTTCCCTGAGCTTCCTCGAGCTTCTTGCAGAGGGCCTTGGTGCCGTGAGGACTCAGCTTCACATCTCTGAGGGAGGGCAGGTGGAATGGCTCTGGGGTTCCCAAACCGCCCGACTGCGTGTCTTTTCCGTTCTCTCCTGAGATGAGAAAGCAGTCTGAGTGGTGCAGGCGCCAGAGTCAGTCCTAGCACACGTGCCAAGTCCAAAGACATTCCCAGCCTCCTGCATGGTAGGAGAGGAGGAGCCCTGGGCTGAATCTGACATAAACCACTGCCAGTCACAGTTTCTAAGGCCACCCGGGAACATTGCCCAGTTACCAAACCCAAGCGTCGCGGGCACGATGCTCATCTTTCCTCCCCTGCTCAATGACACCCTTGAGCCCACTGTTGCAGGGACTGACCCTCCAGCGGCAGCTGAGGGTTCGGAGTATAGCACCACGTTGGCTGGAGACTTGAGGCCCCTCTTCTCGTAGGGACTGGCCTGCCTGTTTCCGGTTAGCCATACATCTGCTTGAACTGAAAGCACTCGTTGCAGTAGCCGTTGCACTTGGCGTTGCCAAAGTGATCACAGGCGGGGGCCCGGCAGCGCTGTTTGGGGAGCTCTTCGGGAGCGGGCTCAGCCAGGTGGTTCCCGGGCCCCACTCGCTGGGTGAGGTGCTGGCACTCCATGCAGAGTTCCTCGCTGCGGCAGGCCAGGATGTTCTTGCAGGAGGCCCGGGCACACTTGGGCCTTGAGGTGCTCTGCGTGGCTCGAGGCATGTCTCTGCGCTGGCTTGATCTCTGAGTGGAAAGAACAGACAGAACTGTTGCTCACATTTCTCGGCGAGAGGACAGTGAGACCCCATGTGACAGTGTGGATTCTACAAAGAGCTTTATCTGCCCGAGCGAGTTAACAAGAGTGCACATGCAGTCTGTGAGCTGCAGCTCGCCAAGGTTTCCTCCCAATCCCACCAAAAGCCAACCCGGCCCCAGGGAGGCCGAGAGGAACCACCAATCCTAACGTGGAGGCTTGCAAACTTGGCCCAGCTCTTGGCCCAGTTAAAGTCTGCTTTTCTTATATGCCATAAAGTGGAGGTACCTGGGAAGGTCTGCCTGCTCGCTCCTCATGATAAGAAATTATTTAAGAAAGTTTGCTTTCTAGATGTCTGTGCTTCTACTGCATGTCAAGGATGTCTCTGATCACCATTTGGCTTTCTGGAGGATGAAGAAGTTTTATGCTATGGCTGATTTTATTTGCTTTTTAAAATGAATTCTAAAGTACACTTAGGCCAGGAAAATTGACAGTACTTGCAACCCAGGGAGCCACAGTGCCGTGGACTTTTCCCCCAGGTTCTCCCAGCAGACTTTCTTAAATAAGCCATTACCATGTGGAGACAGAACCCAGCAGGGAGGAAAACCTGCTTGTCACAGTCAGAAGAAACTGCTCCAGCAAGGAGGACCCAGCACATAGGAGGGGGAGACTCCTCAAAATGTCTCACCAGTTGCTCTTCAGTCCTTTTGGCTTCATGAAATCTCTGGTTCTGAGCTTCGATGAAACACTTCTGACAGTAGCCTTCAAACATGGTGCTTCCAAGGGTGCCACATTCCCTGCCCAGGCATGGAACTGTGTTCTGGAACCTGGAGGCTGTGGGACTGGCTTTTCCTGAGGCAGTGACAAAATCTACAAGAGAGTTGATGCTAATGAGTACCACACATGGGTCACCCTGCAGACACAGAGACAGTGACATTGGAGAAATCAATGGGTTCCAAATACAGAGTAGGCCAGCCTTAAGTAGACATATGAGACCTTTTATAAATTCAGCAAAAAAATTAATTAAAATACTATTATTGAAACATCTTTGGCTTTACAAATCTCTCACTTTGAACATGGAGCACCGATCAGTCACAGTAGCAGAACAAAGAACAGACAGTAACTGCTCATCCTCCTTTTAAATTAGAGATTTACAACACCACAAATGTTTTCTTACGGTGTCAGTGGAGACTTCTCTCTCTCCAGCTACTCCTCTTCAGATTTTGGATTTCTCTATTATACCAAAATTGCACAAGAAATCTGGTTTAAACTCTATCTTATACATGCCAGACACGGAGTAGCCTTATGAAAGCAAATTACCCGACCACTATCTACAGGGCACTTTTGGTTTTTGGAATGTTGTATCTAGGAGCTGCTGGAATCATATAGTGCCTTTTACCTCCACGTGCGGTTGGCAGAGCCACCGTGACCGTCCCTGGGTACAAGCTGGTAGAAAGGCATGGTGGGTTCTGACCATTCTACCTGAATGCCCAGATGGGTGCCTCTCCTTAAAGTTCAGGAACGAAACCTGCTCTAGACAGTAGCTGCTGCATTAGGATCATTTCACTCACGTTTGTTTTCTCTGTACTCGATGAAACACAGCGTGCAAAATCCCTTGTTTTCTGGAGTCCCAAAATACATGCAGCCAGCTTTTCTGCACTTGCTCGGCCCCGTCCTGTCCCCTGGGGTCCGTGCGGCTGGAGAGAGGCAGCCAGATGCGGTGGGGGTGTCATTTCCAGGTCTGTGGCAAGAATGTGGGGAGGGACTGCGCCTGAGCTGGGAGGGATCCGACTTGGACCGCTGATGACAGGAGGGAGGGCCACCAGAGCTGAGGCTGGAGGAGGGCTCTGCCGTAGTCCTTTTGAAGCAAGTGCTGCAGATCCCATTAAACGTCCTGGTGACATCCTGGAGGCAGGCGCGGCACTTCCCAGGATCTAAATGCCTCGCGCGGTCTGCGGTGTGGCTGGAGTGACGCTGCCGGGCATTGTGGCAGCGCTCACAAAGTCCGTTGTGCTGCACGTTCAGCGTGAATGGGCAGCCAGGGCTCCTGCACTTCATAGCGGTGGTTTCGCTGAACAGGAACAGGCTGGGTGCTGTCGGTGGGGCCGAGTGAGGGCCCCCAGCCGGCTCCTCGGGGTTCCAGGCCAAGGGCTCACAGGCCTCTCCCCGAGAGGCCCCAAGTGCCACACCAGGGAGCCCCTTGGCGCTTGGCTTGGAGTTCAGCTTTGGGAGTTTGTTTTGATTCTTTTGCCGCCTCTCTGAGCATTCATGGCACAAAGGCTGGGTGTTCACGGACATGAAGAAGGGACAGTTGCGAGTTTCACATTTTACGTCCATGAGAGATAGCTGGGGCACGGAAGGTTCCAAGGGATTCTGAGCATGCATCTCTCTCCTACCCTGCTCGTTGTTTTCCTGCCACTTCTTGTACTCATGCTGAACAAGTTCAAAGTAATCGTCTACCAGATTGATTTCTTTTGGTAAGTTAGCTTCATCCAACCTAAAGACCAAAAGGAAAAATATGAGACTACACACATTTTTACATCATTAGCTCATAGAACAAACTTTTAAAACTCTATACGCATCCATTGAAAATGCAGGTGTTTGATAAATAGCTTGTACTTCTAACATAATGTGGTACAATACATTTCCTAACATGATCTAGAGTCAAATGTGATGTCAGTGTGCTAAGAAGATTCTGTTATTTTTAAAATCATAGCCTGATTTAATCAATCTTGGTCCACCCCAAATTATGTATCATTCTAAAGAAAGGGCTGCTCTGGGGCTGCCTCTGCTTCTTATTACTCTATTGGTCCTTTAAAAAGTCACTTTGACTTTCTAACTTCTCAGAGATCAAATTTCTATTAATAGTAAAACATTACTCAGGCTATTCATTTGGGACTAGTCTATAATACAAACTACTTTGGAACTTCGTGTTCTATATTTCGCTGTTATTAATTTAAACTTGTGTCTTGTCTCTACTAGCATTAACTGCCAGGGTAGCTAAGAGGCAGGCACACCCAAAGGCGCTGTCTATTTACTTTTGACTCTAATTTGCTCATCTCCACTTTGAGAAACCGATTCTCTTAGGTCCTCACTGTCATCTCTTATGCATTTCAAGTGCTCAGAAACAGCCACATCGTTAACATAAAGCTGGTGTTTAAAGATTGGATATCTACACAGCACATACTCTGGGGCTCTCCTCACATTTTCATGTGGCAAAATCATGGGCTGTCATATAAATACATTCTGTGATCCAGGGTGTGGCTGATGTGTCTAGCTTTACCAAGAAACCAAGAAAAAAGGCTTTTGTTTTCAAGAGTTTTCACTTGTTAGTCTTTTTAATATGTATTACAGCAATTAAAAAAAAAAACTATCCTTGATGTCCTTTTAAAGCCCATAATTCTGACTCTAATTCTAGCATCTAGATACTCAGGAAAATTGTTCTGGATAAATTCCTTGTTTGCATTGGAAATCAAAGTTAGTGCTCCCTTAAGTGTTCCTCTCCAACCATGCACGACGCTCTGAATTTGTCTCACGTTGGCACACACTGGCTGCGGATAACTTTCTTGTTGAGCTATGAGTGTCAGCCGCTAATGTGACTGAAGTAAAATAGCTACAGATGACAAAGAAAAGAGCTAAACACAAACTGCTTACTTTGCAGCCTTGATGAGATGGGTCGTGCCATGGTCCCAACCTTGGACTGGGATTTCTATCAGCGTCAAGTACTCTTTTAAGAGCTTTTCCTTCATCTCATTTTCAGGCTCTGTCAAAAAGTGAACTTTCAAGTCTTCAAACCTTCCTCGGTCTCTGTTAACAAGTGGAACAGCTCGGATTTCTGAGGGAAAAAAAAAAACCACATAAGTAAAACGGTATTCTACTAATTGAGGTCTTACGTAAGGTCGTACATAAAATAATTAACTTTTGAAAATGCAGAAAAGTATTATCTAGCCACAGTTAAGCTCAAATGGGCAAACAAAATGTGCTACACTCTAATATAAAATGCATCTATGTGACATTGGGCAGGTTATTTAACTTCTTCTAGCTTCAACTGCCTCATCTGTAAAATAAGGCTACCAATGCCTATGTCTCACAGGAATGCTATGAGGATTAAATGCAATAAAATAATATACCTAAAGCACTTAATGTAGTGCCGACTCTACATGAAGCTATTAAAATAATAGCTAAACTTGACAAACATTTACCTGTTCCATACCAGGCACTGTGTTCAGGGCTCTGTGTGCCTTAATTTATCATGTATTAATGTTAACAGTAGCAGTGATATATATAAACATATCATCTACTTGCAATTAACATGTTGAAAGTACTTTCCAAGTCATATACAAAAAGATATGGGGGTATTTTGATGACTGCTACTGCACTCCTGTTACTAACCAAACAAATGACAGAATGATATATTTAAGTAAAAATAGTATTCTTAAATAAGATTATTTCAGTAAGGAGCAAAAGAGCAAACTCTGACATTCTAGTATCTAATACAATTTGTGAGTGTAAACTGATGCAGTTTTCTTACCAGGCCCACTGTCCTTCAGGGTCACTAGGGGTACAAAGTGTTGGCTGTCATAGCCGAGAACGATGGGGTATCTGTAGCATTCCTGGGAAGGCCAGTGGAGAGGCAGGTAAATTCCACCCACTCTCAAAGGGGCGAAATTTGAACCCGATTCCAAACTTCTTAGCATTTTGTCTGTTCAATGAAAGAGAAAGAAAAATAAGGCCTTGAGTGACTTTAATCAAATTCCATTTGGCTACTGTTACCTGTAACTTCGGTAGTGCGGGTCTTCCCTGAGAGCGGAAAAGCGCTTTAATACAAATAAGTGATCTGCAAGCATCTCACCTGAAATGACAATGATTGGCCTTCTGAGAATGTTACAAAGGACAAATATGTGTATTTCTTCCAGCGAATTATACTGAAGTCCACCTTGGGCCCCTGGCGTGTCTGCGGAAGCCATTTTGATTAGGGTGTCCCATTCATCATTCCAGTTCTAAGGGAAGAAAGGTGAAGCGAGAAAAGATTGAACATACTCTGCATTAAAAAGCCATTCTGACATCACTCAACAATTACTCGTTTATATAACTCAGCTTACTTTTCCCCTTTCTTGAAACCATCATTCAAATGATCACCCTTTTTCCCCATTTTGGTTCTCTTCCTTTACTTTTTTCCACTACAAGGCAAACTCAAAAGTGGGGGAGGATGGGGACAGCACCTGCTTTCAAAAAAATCCCTGATGAGGCATAACACTGAAGCCCCTCATCCAAACATACACAAAAATTCCAAGCTTGTGACCAAGGAAGGTGAGGCACGTGTCTCAGTCTGATTGACTGGCTCAGCAATCACGCTAGGGGCAACTGAACTCAAAAAACAGCAAAAATACCAAAGGAAAAGGCCACAATGAGAAGAGTTTCAGTTACAGTGAAGAGACCCACAAGCTGGGAATCTGCAACCCAAAAGCAGTGGCAAAAGCCTCAGGTTAATCCCACAGGAGGTTTCTGGTGTTTTCCATTGAGTATGTCTTAGCAAAATTCACGTGACGTAGTCAACCATATGATCCCTGAAGGCAGGACCTGGCCTGGGGGACCCTTTGTCCACCATGGAAGTCTGTCAGTAGATGCTTATGAGGGAACAAGACATACCCGAGTGTCATAGCAAAGCCCCGTTTCCACAAATTCCTGAGATTTGAGAGACTCCAGTTGCCAGCGGAATTTAAAGTTGCGTGTGTCTGTCTCCTTTAGCGTGCTAAAGAGTGCCTTCCTCAGAACCAAGTCTGTGTCCTGAACGCCCCACATGTACTGAGACGTGGCGTGCATGAGGCAGTTGCCATCACCTGAGGACAGAAGGGAAGGGAAGAGACGCAAAGTCAAGTGATCTGCATTTAAGGTCCAGCAAAGGTTTTCAGAATAAACTAGCCCTATTGCTATCACAGGGGACTGAATGGTTTAATTTGGTTTAAATTCTCGGTCAAGGGCCAACTGATAACATATCACAAGGCGATAACAGCTTTCAGGAAAAATTAATTCCTTTCATTCTTCTTCTTAATGAATGATAACAACAGTGCAAAGGAGCCAAGGGACCTTGGTGCTAGCTTGGTCTGCTCCTAAATTGTTCAAGTGGCCTCGAGGGAAATTCCTTAGGCATTTTTCCTCCTTGTGAAATGAGGGCACTAGATTATGGTCTCTAAATCCCATCCCTTTCCAACATCCCCTGGTCTGCTAGTGAAGGCGCTGGCGCTATGCTCTCTAACCCTAAGGAAGGACACACAGGGCAGCATGCACAGACCAGGAAGCAGGCACGGCTTGGTTACTAGACAGGGATCTCTTGCTATAATTCAGCAGCAAATGATTTGACCATGCCACGTTAGCCTTTGGAACCTGGGAGTTTCCTCTCCTGGTTTGTAGAATGGGGTGGACACCACCAAATTCCCTGTGGCCTGTGGCCTGCCAGCCCCGGGCCCCCTAAATGCCTTATGCGAACCTGCTTATTAGCAATTGTAAAGTCCTTTTTAAAAGTTAAAGTGTACCTGGATATCTAACTTTGAAAATAAATCAGTGTTTAGGGCTGGCATTTTGAGGGGAAAAAAAAAATCAGAACAGGTTTAATTTTATTCTATTAATTTGTGACCTTTCCAGGTTAAAACTCATAATTCAATAGATTACATTTTATTTCAACCCCCAAACAATAAGCATTTTGGGGGAATGTTTAAAACAAAGAAAAGTTAATTCATTAATCTCCTTTGACAAGTACAAAATAGTTTTTATAAAGAAAAGTTAAACTGTTTCTTATTCTGTAAGTAGAACAATAAAGCTATTTGAAATCTTATCAAATTTTAATTATGGTCAAACTGTAAAAAATAAAAAAAGTAAACAAAAAACAAAAACACAACCTCAAATATGTATCCACAGGCAGTATTCCTTCAATTTACACACTTGGAAAAACTAGCTAAGTATTTGAACAAATGAACAAAAAAAGATCACTCAAGCCTTGTGTCTTGGCAGAAGTGTGGCAACGACTGCATTCTGTTGAAATTTCCCCTTTGCAAAATCTAGAGCAAAGATAAGGCTTTTTTTCTTCTTCTTGTGCTTACTTTCAGTTCTTTATTGAGATGCACCAGTATAAAATTCCCTAAGTAACATCTGGAATTCCCCAGTGCTAAGTTATTTGACTAGCAATTGAGCAACAGCTATTGTACTTTTTGTTCTGGTGTGTAGACATTTAAACTGCGAAGTGCACCCTGGACTTTCCAAGTGGGTGTGGCCAGGGTGAGCTGGAATAGGGCTACTCATTATACAAGTGAAATCGCTGCAGCCAATAGACGCTGGAATTTTTCACATGAAGTTTCAATTTTATGCCACCTACTCCCTTCCTCATTCACCGCAGTCTCATATCCTCAAATGCAAACTTGTGAATCACCCCCTCCCCAAAGAGACCACTGCCTTTGAAGAACCCTCCTATGGGTGGGGGGTGGAGGGGACGGGAGGATAAAAAACAGGTGCTAATAAAAATCAAAGGAGACAAATCATTTGTTTTTCCCTTCCTCCTTTAAATATCTTTTCTTCCTTCCTCAGAATTTTAAGGAATTTTTCTTGAAAGTGGGAAAATATAAGTCTAAAAACCCTTATTTTTCAGAAAATATTATCAAAATGCACTTGCTTTTGTAGTTTAATTGGTAGTGTGACTCCCTGTTGATATAAATGACTTATGTTTGCAAAATAAGTGTTTCTTATTTATATTCTATTTTTTTTCCTATGGAAATACAGTATTTCCTTTCTTAAGGAAATGAAGCAAAATGTCAGTTAATTCTGTTAATGATGATAAGGTTTTTCCCTTTCTTCCACACTTCTAGTTCAGTAGAATCTCTTTGTTTCCAAATCTCTCAAAGTTGACTCTGTCTCTTCTTTGTAATAAAATGGGAAAGGGTTAAAACCACCAATTGTCAGGCATATAAAAAGCCCTTAATGATGACTTAACATAATAACCTACTTCTTGGCATCACTGAATTTAATGCCAAGAACAGTGTAGACAGTACCTATGCCTAGTCTTCTGTCTACCTATGTTTCTAAGAGTCCTTTCGCAAATACAGGCAAGACGTTGAGGTGATGTACAAGAGCCCCCAGAATCAAAACAAAAAAACCCACAATCATTCTAAGTTACCCAAGTCAAAAACAGGCAAAGTTAATGTACCAATTTAGTTAATTAAGTTAATGTTGTTATCATAGTCATTGTCAATGAGGATTTTCTGCTTTTGGATGTATTATTTTGATCAGGATGGCTTAGGACTGTCATTGACGGAAGGCTCTGAGATTCCTGCTCTGACCTAAACCATGAACTTTTTAAAAATTGTTTTTGCACAGTCTACTTGCTTATCCTAATAATTACCTATGGCCACAGAGTAGAGTTTTGCACCTGCATGAAGCAGTATACTTGAATGTTCCTGTTGATACCCCTACACTTGCTCAAGGGAAACGATGAAAAAAAACAAAACAAAACAGTAGAGCTTGGAATAGGAGATAGCTACTAGTAGTCGAGTCCATTGGGCAGAAAGGCACAGACAGGAAAAAATTCAGTGACTAGGACTCCCTAAAAGTAATGAAGTAGAGGTCTACAGTCTGTGCTAAAAATCTCAAATACCTTTCTATTTCATATTGCAGGACCACAGGCCATAGAACCCAGGCAAGGGAGGAGGAGACAAAAGGACCCTCTTGTCCTCAACAGCCATCCACTGGTTAACCCATAAAATGCCACCAATTCAAGAAGTATAAGAACATCACAAGCATTTTCTAATGACAATGGGAAACAACAGTAATAGTTTTCACACCATTTTTTCCTTTTGAACTTAAAGCCTTTTACAATTTCCATTACTGGCCATGGAAGGGTATTTTACACATGATTAAACAGTCACAAGAATTAGAAACAAATCACTTAACTGGGGCATGGTGTTGAGAAATACATTCCCCAAGCCATAATGTGCTCTGTGCTCTAACACATACAATTAGAAAATATCTTTAATAAAAATATTCACAAAACAAGCTTGCTTTTATCACATGCCCCTTATAGAGTTTCTATACTTAGGTGTCTGTGCTAAATCTCAAGAGATTTGAGTTTGGGCTAGCACTATGAAAACTTCATGGATGGGACCCAGTGGCAGAAGCCATCCTCCAGGCAAAAGAAGCACAACAGAGCAAGTCTTACCATTTGTTTTCAGTGCCACGAGCTTCCTGACTTCTCGACACCAATTGAGCTTCTTTTGGCTTTCCAGGGAAGCCTGGATGTTTCTGTCGATGAGGGCTTTGTGGATGATCTCCCGAAACTGTGGGCAAAACTGGCAAGTTCTGAACATTTCCAGTGTGTACCGGTGCATAGTTTTAAAATGAGGAATGATCCCATTGGTAGGTTTAAAAATATCCTCTGGAGTTCTCTCTCTTATCTTCACAGCTTTCCGCATATTGCTCAAATACAAAGCCTGGGGAAGGAGTTGTTCAGCCATTGTGCTCTCCAACACCTGAAGAGGAGGGGGGAAGAAACCCATTCCGTTAGCCTGTCTTTGATACCACTCCTATATACCTGCCTGCAGGAAACCTCAGTGTTTGATCTTGTCATTACCCTAATCTGTAGGCACAAGATCTTAGTCACCTCTACTCCCAGGATACTAGCTGGCCTCAAAGATTAACTCACACTGGACTGTTTTAAGTTACATCACTTTTAAAGATTAGTCTAAACAAGAGAAGGAAGGCGGAGAGTGGGTACTGAGGAGGAGGGGGATAACCCGTGTTTTCAGTAATGTCTGTCTGTCAGGGAGTCAAGCCTGTCTGTCAGCAACAGGTACTGCGCCTCAAAATCGACTTAAGCTCTCACTGCATTCAGATGCCACTCTGGAGCAGCTGCTGGATTTGGGGAGTACTGAATGCCAACTAAGGGCACAATAGTAGCTCTTTCCTTAAGACCACCACCAAGCAATCCCAGCTCCTGGGTAAAATCTTGATTTATCACTTCCTCCCTATGCTGGAACGACAATAAATATTTACAAAAACTCCTGCAATTTTATGTTGTCATCTAGGCTGCTAGTTGGTGTTTCCTCTATAGCCCCCAAAAGAAGTATTTGTAAGGATTTTATTTATAAAATGTATTATAATATTTATAAAGAGTTAAAACTGAATGTTTTATAACCAACACAAAAGTCTATTTCCAGCAAGCTGCTTCACAATTTTAAGAGCCGTCCATCAGCACTCCTTCAGAGCTTATCCATTGGACTTTACAACAATAGGCTAAGAAACAGAATAACAATAGAATAAATAAATTCTACACTTCTAATAACAGACATCGGAGCTCAGTTATTTCAACTCAACTACAAACCAAACATTTTCTTGGTTTTTCAAATTTTATTTTTTGTTTGTTTTTTTAGAGATGGGGTCTCACTATGCTGCTCAGGCTGGTCTTGAACTCCTGGGCTCAAATGATTCTCCCACCTCAGCATCTCGAGTAGCTGGGACTACAGGCACTGCGGCACCACCGTACCCAGCGCAACCAAATTTTATCATCGCTCTCCAGGTACGAACACTCAGATGCATTTCCACCTGGTCCTACACTCTGAAATCTTCAAGCATATTCAACTGGTGGAGGAAATGAGAGTCTGAAGCAGACAAGGAAAGAAGTTTCAGCCAGGAGACCACTCAAGACAAGTGAAAGAAGTGTGAGGACAAAGAATCTATGCCCCATGCCAACAGTGTGGGATGACGTGAATTAACATAACGTGGGATCTCTCCAGTGTGCAGCTCTGGTTCCCCAGCCCTTAGTAGGGTGCCTCACCACACATCCTAATTTCCAAGAAGGCAAAGACGATTTCAGAACACAAAGATATTCTCTAGGAAGTTTCGCAGTGATTGTTTAGCCTACTCCTGCATCACACTATTTGCCAGGGCAACCCAGTTGATAAAGATGTTAAACCAGTGTAAGAGGGATGGGAAGAAACCTGGATTTTTGGGAAACCACTTCTCGGTGGATCTAGGCTCTCTTAAAGCCATTGATAAGGTGGTCTAAATTCTGGTGGCCCACTCAAAGGAGAAAGTTTGGATTAGACGACCCTGAGGTCACTTCTGAGGAGTTTTATGGTGGTAGTTTTGGACTGGGACTCTTAATCTGATTGCTGGGGGAGGCCAGGGAGAAGTCATTCTCTGGGTCAAATGGTGATCTCTCCTATGATCTTAGACATTCCCTGCAGGTGGAATTGGGCAAAGTCATAGCAGGACTACAGACATAATGAAGGGACAAAAATACCACATGCACTTTTCCTTTGTGGCACAGCAAAAGTCTCTTTCACAACGTCATTCATGCATCCATGCATCCATCCATTCAACAAACACTAGCTGACCACCTAATGAAGGCCAATCACCACGCTTGATGCTGGGGCCAAAAATAAAAAATGACCTTATTCCATGCCTAGAAGTCACACAACCACCTTAGTCTGCAGCTAAGGCAATGAAGGTGCAGGTCCTGAGCAGGTCCCACAGCCATTCAGGGGCAGAGCTTTGCACAGGAGCCAGGTTTTCCAATGCCTGCCTCTTCCAATTCCCACAACACAGCGGTGGCCACGGTGCCTGCCACTCTCAGATGGAAACAGACTGACAGTAGGAAGATTTTAAACAAACTAGGTGTTGCCTCCTGTTGCTTTTCTAATTTTTCTATTTTTCTCTTCTGGACCTAAAGATTTTTCAGCAAAGATCTAAAATAGTGAGAGCTGTAAACCATGTGCAAGACATGCAAATGTCAACATTCGATAGTCCAGTGTGACCTCATTCATATATTTAGCCTTGCACAGCCTGCAAAATTGCCTCCTTAAAAGAAATCAAAACCCACTGCCCAAGTTTCCTGTTCCTGGACTTCTCCGCACTTAAGATTAAAGAATAAATTTTTCTGACATAGGATTATAATGTCCTTATGTGCAAAAAAAAATATACAATATTAGCCTTAATATTTTGTTTTTACATTCGTTACCTCGCTGCCTTAATAAATTTCCCAATTTTTGTCACAAGGATCAATGAGACTGGAGCACTAACTGGCTGGCCAATAATCTGGGACATTAGGGTTGTGGTCCAGAGACTCTTTAATCAACAATGGTTCTCCCAAAATGCTGCCCTGAGACACTCGACCAGACTGGCTTTCCAAGGAAAGCAGATCAGACGCAGGGAGAAGTGAAAACAAAGGGAGCTCGAAAAGAGCCGAGCTCCTTCCTTACTTAATACCACTGCTTTCCTGAGAGACCAGGTGGCAGGATGTGGGACGACCCCGGCTGACAAAGACTGTCTGACTGTGGGGTAGGGGCTGGAGCAGCAGCCTGCAGATCGCTACTGAAGTGGAGCCCCCCAAAGGCAGGCTACACGCACTTCGACATGCATACTTCTCTTACACTTCTGCAACTGAAAAAGAGGGACCCCGAGCCCCGACCCCACCGTCCTGCACGGACCCCTGGAAGCTGTATCTGGGAAGGTGGCTGACTGAAGCCCCCCAACCTCGCCTAGTCTGGCTGCCCCCGTGGCACCTCAGCCCCGCTGGGCTGGTTGTGCACAATCTGGGAAGAAGTCACAGTGCTTCTGCAAGGTCTACGTGGCCATGGGCATGAAGCGCTCGACTGCAAAAATAGACACGAAAAGGAGCAAAGCACCAACGATCACCTCCCCAAGGGGCCCGAGGGGCGACTCTCCAGCAGTCAGCTGCAGCTTAAGTTCTATGCATTATCTCAAAGGAACAGCTGGCTGGAAAAATCCAGGGCTGTCACCCCAACATCTGGAGCGGCTACCTCAACTCCCAGCACTTCAAAAATCTAGAATGGGAGCACACGGCCAACAAATTCCCTTCCAGGACCGCTGCAAAACCAATGGCCAAGTAGACGGGGCCAGCCCGGGGGTCGCTGCCCCACACGCACCCCACCCGCAGCCCTTGGCCGCGGTGAGCCCAAGGCAGACGGCGCAGAGAGGCGCGGCGGTTACCTGTCTGAGCCGCGCGATCCTCTCCCAAAGTCCCACGTCCGGGTCAGGACAGGCGCGCGCCGCTGGCGGGGCTCGGGCCGAGGCTGCGCCCCATGGACGCCCGGAGTCGGGCTTGCTCGCTGCCGGGGGTGTGATCTCTGCTGGCGGCCGCGCTCGCCGCTCCGCCCCCGCGGGCTCGCTGCTCTCTGCACTTGCCCGCCGCGAAGGCTGCAGACTGCGCAGTTTCCTTTTTTCCCTTTCAGTTGTACTGCCCGCGACCGCCGGGGATTTCCAGGGACTTTCCAGTCACGTGACGCGCGCGTCCCGCGGGGACGGCCGGCAGGGGGCGCAGGAGGCGAGCGGCGCGCTAGGCCCCCGCCCGGCCCGGCCGCCCCGCCCCGTCCCGCCCCGCCCCGGCCGCCTGGAGAAACTCCTGCGCCCCGCCCCGGGGTGTCCCCGAGTGAGTCACCTGGGCATTTCGGAAGCTGGGCCCAACGTCACATCCATGTGGAAATCGCGGTGATGGGAACTGGAAATGAAATAGGTTCTTTTTCGCAGCCGTTTTTCTGCAGAAAATCATCAACTGTGGAGAAGAAGAAGGGAAATAAGAAAGAAAGAAAACCCTAAAAACCACCCCGGCGCCCTGGACCGCAGGCCTCGGGCAGAATTTGAAAAGTTTGAGCTGCGCACGTGATGAGCTCGGAGGGGGAGTCCTAGACAGGGCCCCGGTGGGGATTTCTAGAGAAAGAAGCAGTACAACCCCGGACCCCAGCCTGGGAGAGGTGGAGGTCCGAGGAGACACGCGACCCCGTGGTCCTGCGGTCCTGGGCTTCGCGGGGACGAGGCCAGCCTTGGACAGAGTTAGCAGTCAGAACGACCCCCACCCGTATTCCCGCACTTGCTCCATTTCCTCTTCTCTATTTCTGCACACCAGGCACCCAGGTGGCATCACATTAAGTAGCATTTCAGTTTAGGAAGCGCTTCTAGTCTGGTTATGGTCCTTGCCTTGTGTTTCCAAGGCTAATTTATTAGGTGTATTTTTAGCTGTCCTGATAATTAGTTCCCCCCCGGGATGCCAACGGCTGCTAATACTTTGTGTCCCCCACCCACCCCCCACGCGTTCTTGGCTTGGTGACTGCACTGCTCAGCCTTCATCTGGACGGTGAGTCACGTGGAAATGGGTGCCGGCCACCTGGGCAGTGGAGGTGCTGGAGCTGTGGAGGGAGGGGCGTTAGGTCGCTTTTGCTGCCTTGCTGCCCTCTAAGCACCGGCTCCCCTTTCGACCATCCACTAGAATGGCTACATATACTTAAGAGTACTTGTCAGGCTATATATTGCAAGTTTTGAATTAGAAAAGTATGATCCTCTCTGTAGTGAGGACCTGCAGAGACTAGGGTGGGGGCTGGACGGAGGGTGGTACTTTTTTGGCAAAGAGAGAGAGCAGAGTCAGTAGTGGCTACCGTCCCAAGGCTGGTCCTGGTCTTTTTAAACCCATGGCTGGATTTTTTTCCAGCTCCAAATCTTTTGTTATTTGTCCTCTTCACACGTTTTCAGCTGTCAACACTCAAACAATGGATAGTCAACCTAGTAATATAAAATGTAATATAAAATGCCATCTATCAGGTACTTACTATATATATGCTTTTTTTAAAAATTTTGAAATATTAAGGGGGTACACATATTTTTGTTACATGGCTACCTTTTACAATGCTTAAGTCTGGGCTTTCAGTGTGCCCATCACCTGAGTAGAATAGTGTTCATTGAACCCAATAGGTAGGTTTTTACCTCTTCCCTCCAACCCCTCTGTCTTGATTTCCAGTGACTTTCACATCTCTTTGTGCCCATGTGTGCCCATCAATTAGCTTTATATATGTTTTTATATGAAGCTTAAGAAGCTTAAGACATTTGCCCAAAGGCTACACAACCAGAAAGTGGCAGAGCCACCAGTGGAATTAGGTCTGTCTTTCTCTAAAGCCCATACTGATAAGTCTTCATTATTAGACTCTTCCTTTTAGGAAAGGTCCTATAAGATTTCAAGTTTCAGGGGCCCTGTTGGTACCCTGACCCCCATTCTCTCCAACACACCGAAATCACTTAGCCAAACATGGACCCCTGGGCAGAATCTGGCTTGGGAGGCAAAAGGGCCTTGGTTCCACCGTCAGGAAACCTCCTAGACTTCTGCTGAGATGATGAAAGAAGATGATGTCTGTAACAGAACACCCTGCGCAGAATGTTAATCCTCAGATCACGCTCCCTGGCTCTCGTTTGTAAACAGAATCTGCCTGCTCCCTCTCATCTCTGTCTGGCTCTGACACTCCAACACTTTGTGCTGCATCCACTGCCCCTTTCTGGCTCGTGTCTTGTTCCCTGGTATGATGAGCTTGGAATGCAATAAGGAAGAGTGACAAGCCTGAAAGGCCACGTTCCATACCTGCCACTTCCAATTGTCCCATCGTGGCTGCTTTGCCATCATGCCTGCCAGGATTTGTGACGAGGGTATTAGCAGTCAGATACAGGAGTGGTCTGTAGCCCTCAATTTTGTTCTACCTCTATTTTCCGCAGTTTTACTGTAGAGCTTGTTGATTCGTCCTCCCCACCCCCAAGCAGTTTTTACTGTCCTTTCTTAGCTTTTTTTTTTTTTTTTTTTTTTTTTGAGACAGAGTCTCACTGTGTTGCCCGGGCTAGAGTGCCGTGGCGTCATCTTAGCTCACAGCAACCTCAAACTCCTGGGCTCAAGCGATCCTCCTGCCTCAGCCTCCCGAGTAGCTGGGACTACAGGCATGCGCCACCATGCCCGGCTAGTTTTTTCTATATATTTTTAGTTGTCCAATTAATTTCTTTCTATTTTTAGTAGAGACGGGGTCTCACTCTTGCTCAGGCTGGTCTCATCCGCCCGCCTCGACCTCCCAGAGAACTAGGATTACATGCGTGAGCCACCGCACCCGGCCCCTTTCTAGCTTCTAAATCAGGGCTTTGTTGGGCTGGACACGTAGCTTTTCTCTTTCTACTACTTAACAGGACCAATAAGAATTTTCTTGGTGGTGGTTCAGAAAGAAAGAATAGAACAGAAGGAAAGAGTATAGATGGAGTGACCTCTTATGAAAAAAGGGGATATAAAATTTGTGGAGATTCGTTGAAGGAATTAAAACCAAAGAGATACAGAATGCCCAAAAACCTTGAAAGGGACTTTAATTTTTGCTGTAGACCTTGTCAAGTTGGACAGATCTCTTCAAAGAGGAAGAGATATTTATTAACATCTAGACACATAGGAGGGAAAACGTGTCTCCTTATTAGAGGAAAGAGGGATTGTGGTTATGTGGGGTGTTTTTACAAAGTTCCTAAGTTATGTGCCATTTTCACCGTGGTGCCAGTGTTCATACATTTCATGAACTGCATAAAATGAGCACATGTGACCTCTCGGAATTCAGCGGTACCTTTGAGACCATGCCTGCAGCCTGTATCCTTGTATCACACAATGGAAAAGATGTGCGTGCCAAGACGGTGGGGAGCAGGAGAAACCTGGTGAAAGTGAGGCACATGTGACAAGTGGGAAGGGGACCAGGCTCAGCTCCAGTGCAGGTCATGAGCCTTTCTTAATCAAGAATCAGTGACGGCTGGGTGCAGTGGAAGGTGCCTATAGTCCCAGCTACTCCAAAGGCTGAGGCCAGAGGATCCTTTAACTCCGGGAGTTTGGGGCCAGCTGGGGCAGCACAGTGAGACTCAGACCCTAAGAAGACAATAAATAAGAAGAAAGCATATTTTTTAAAAAATCAGTCTTTCTGAGTGTATGGAATTCCAGGGTATGGCAATCATGGGTCAAAGTAAAATTGGACATTTTGTGTCTGTTGTACAATTGTCTCCTTCCCTTTTCCCAGAGCTACGCTCTACTGAAAAGACAGATTCTTGTTAAACATATTTTAAAGCAGGCTCCTGTGAGTATAGATAGCAGCTTAGTTATTACACAGTAACTTTGAATCCTGCTCCAATTTTTCAAATCCTGCTTCAAACATTACTAAAGAATAATGTTTGCCCTTTCAAGACCATTGCCAGGGCTAGTTCTGAGAATACGAGAGAAGGTCTTTGTGGATTATAACTGTGAGAACTGGAATAATGATGTCATAGATTTCACCATCGTATGAATGCCAAATTCTACTGAAATGCTATTTCTTATCTAGGGACCTCAGATCCCTTACAGGTGTTTTCTGGGCTGAATGGAGAAAGGAAGACCCACCACGGTGGAGGGACGACTACAGTAACCCAGTGAGTCACCTAGTAACAGGAACAAAGGCTCTGCACTGGAAGGGAGGCAAATTAGTTTACTGCCAAGTATAGCTCTTGTTCCACTTTGCCTGAAAGCATGGGATGCTGACATCTAAAACTTGTCGAAAATTTATTGCCCCTGTGAATTCTGATTTAATTTCCTATCAACACTTGGCAGAGAAATTTTATTTTACGTCATGAATCAATATTCAATTCTTGGTTTCATTTCTGTTTTTGTGGAGGCTGCTATTAATGACCAAATCTGAACGATGACAAAAAGCCCAGAAATGGATATTATTAGGAACCAACTGGTGTTCAGTATTGCTTTTAGCAGTGCACTGGATGTTCACCGAGATAAATGAGTTCCTGTTATTTGGAAGAGTCCTAGACATTGTGAAAATTTGTCTTTGACATTCTTCTTTTGCTCTTCTGTCTCCTCAGTCCAGTTTGGGGTCTCCATAGTCCTGCCTCCTTGGCACTCCTCCCCTCCACCCCCATCGCCATTAAAAAGGGATTTGGCTTTCATTCTTTCAGGGACCTGTTTTCTTGGACGGGTTAATTAAGGTAATTCATGCTCATTTTCCAAACAGATTGCAATGTGTTATTGTGCTATATTTCTTGAGAAAACATTTCTATAGAAGCCAGAACTTTCTAGAGCTTAACGGTAGAAATTCCAAGCACCTTAGCAGGATGGAGAAGGAGTTGTTACATTTCTATGGTTCTGAGAGTCTGTGGTTGTAAAACACACCATGGATTTAATAACAAATGGTGTGGAGTGGGGGAAACAACCTCATTTTATTAAATGTACACATGTTCTTTCTTTTACTCACTAACAATAGCCTGCATTTATTGATGTGATTGCCTTCCTCTTTCTTCTTCACTGTCACCATTCATGTTGGATTCTAAATCACCTTGTAGATTTAGGATTCTTCTGAGCTGATCTTGGCCGTTGATGGTTGTGCATTGCAATGCTCAGATAGGCTGTTTTCAGTAAGCTGGCTC